CCCACGACCTACCAGGATGCGGATCTTTTGTTGGCGACCTTGCAGGAGCAGATAGATGTGTTGGAAGGCCTCACTCATGCGAAGAGGCGGGGAGTCTTCTGGAATTGGGTGCAGAGAGCGGAGGAAGAAGGCATCGTCCGCTACGATGACGGCGCTGGAACGCTCACTCGTGTCACGGCGGACCGGCCGGGCTGCACAGTCAGGCCCATCCATCTCCCGGAGGTTTCGGAGATCCCCACCCGCCCACCCGATCGCACGGCATCGATCCCGGGCGCGTCTGCTGAGTGTGCGGGGGGTGCGGCCGCACGCGGAAGGGCTGCTGCACGCGAGAGGGGCACACGAGAGGTCGGCCGAGAAGCGGAAGCACACCAACAGCACCGGCCAGAGGTGATGCACCCGCAGCAACAGCCTCGCCCACAGATTCCCCGACTCGTATCGGTTGACCCGAGAACCGCAGGGCAGCCAGGGCAGAGTGCACCGTCGGCTCAGCAAAACCATCCACATAATGCACCCAATGAGGACCACCACCCACCCCTCCGCATCCTGCAGCGAACATCTGCCGAGGGGCAAGACCACCAAGTCCCCTTCACCGCAGTGCGACACATCGAGGCTCCACCCGTCGTCGCAGCGTCCAACCAGCAAGCCCATCACACCAACCAGCCGACACGCGCGGCCGCTGTATATACAGCGGCGACCCAGATTGGCCGCACAGAAACCCTGGGGGCCGTGGTGGTGGACGTGGCAACAACGGAGGACGGGGGCCTGGTGGAGGGAACAATGGAGGTCGCCGTGACGGTGCTGGTGGAGAGGGGCGACGTGGTGGTGATCGCGATAGGGACCGACGAGACGATCGCCGACGAGATGAGAGGGGCCGTGACGGATACCTCGGCCCCCTCTTCGAGGATGTGCCCGAGAGGGAGGATGATGACTTGGGCAGGGAGTGGCAGGATATGGTGGCTCGCGAGCACACGAGGCGAGCATACGAAGAGAAGTTGCGACGAGATGAGGAACGTGAGCAGCAGCGGCGGGCGATGAAAGAGCTGAAGCCGTCCCCCTTCAGTGGCGATGATGGCATGCCAGCAAAGGAGTGGTTGAGAGAGTTGGAGACGTGGTTCGACGAGGCAGCCGTAGCCCTTCAGATGAGGCCGCAGATGTTCCACAAGCAGCTCAAGCCGGGGAGCAGTGCAGCCGCCTGGTGGTACAACTTGCCTGAGGCGACTCGCGGCAGCTGGAATGAGCTGCGGGAGGCGTTCGTCGAGCAGTACGTGCCGCGCGCCACTTCAGACCTCATCTACCGACAAGACCTGAAACGAATGCGGATGGAAGACAATGAGACGATCGATGCCTTCACCAAGCGTTTCAACATCCAATGCACGAAGGTCAATGGCCTCACCGATGACGAGAAGAGGTCGAACTATCTGTCCGCATTGGTTCGACCGGTGTGGAACGCCATGAAGCCGTTGCTGATAGGGAAGAACGACCAGGAAATGAGGAAGCTCAGCTATGCCAACCTCTGTATGCTCGCCCGCGAAGCAGCACCTGAGAAATACCGGAGGAGCGACACTTCAGATACAGCTGACCGTGACAGGCGCCCAGCTGACCGTGATAGGCGCCCCAACAAATCGAGCAACCGTCGCGGCGACAAACCTCCACGGCCGCTCTTCGCCCCCACGACCACCGACAACCCTATCGCCTCACTAATGGCCATGACGACCCCCGCACTGCTTGCATCATTGCAGCAGCACGCCACCACAGCAGCCACACAGGACGAGAGTGACGATGAGGACCGAAGGGACGGATATGAGGGGGAACAGGAGGGCGACGACGAGACGGACGAGTTGAGCACGAGCATAACATCGGTGGGCAGCACCCCGGTCGACCAGCTCACAGCTGCACAGGCAGTGGCTGCCCTCCAGCTGAATGCCCTCAGCAACCCCATGCTCGCCCTCGCCAACCCTCTGGCCGCCCTTGCCAATCCACTCGCTGCTCCACTGACAGCCCCACTCGCTGCTCTCTTCAACAAACCCCCAGGCCTCTCAGACGCTCGACTGGACGAACTCTGCAGACAGAACCCGAAAGCCAAGGAGAAACTGATGAAGCTCCCGTGTGAGCACTGTGGACACCCAGGCCATTCGATGATGACCTGCATCAGGCTCAAGAAGCTGCTCGTAGAGGCATGTGACGGACGTCAGTCTGGCCAGCAGAGAGGAGGCGCACCCGACAGGCCAACCAAGTCGCCGCCTCCTCACAAGCCGCCTGAGGGAAACGAAAAGCCTTCGCGCACCTGAGGGGTGGAGTGCGAGGGCCCATCTCCCCACCCCTCCCCCTCGTGCATACGACTGACCCACCTGCTCGTGCGTGCAATGGGGATGTAGCCGTTGACGACGGACGTGACGGGGATGCGGACTGCTCGGATGTGGCATCGTCGATGGGTGCATGTGACGCCTCCTCCGATGGGTATGATCTTAGTGGATTTGTCGTTGGAGAGGACGACCAGCTGACAGACGGATTGCGGGAGAGGGCTGCTGGGGATGTCGATGCTGATTCGCGGCCGTCTGCGCGTCCAGCTGTTGTTCAGGCTGAATGTCCTTCACACCTGCATGCTGCCCGCCATCGTGTTGCCCGCCTTGTTCGTACTCATCCATTTGCCGTCTTGTATGAGGGGCCGGGTGACGCATTCAAGGGACATCTGCGGCACCGCCGACAGAAGGGCCGGCATCAGAGGACCGCGGCTCAAGCAGCTGCTGGGCTACTTGCTGTGCTGCCCTCGGCGGGCCTGCTGATGTCGCCAATTGGGGCGTTGGGTGAGGGTGCATGCGGGGAACAAGGGAATCGTGGGAGTTGCCAAGAAGGTCCACACGCGTCTACTCGATCGGAGCCCCATTCAAACCCAAACCAGCCGTCCTCCAGCGGGCCGTCGCTCTGCTCGTTGACTCATGATCAGCCACCATCGCCAGCGTCACGGTGCAAGATTCTTCTCGACAGAGAGCCTGAAGATGAACGCACGACACACACGGCCGTCGACAGAAGCCCCCCCTCCCCAAAGCAGGATGCTGCTACCCTTCCCCTTGCTTCTGTTTGCCCACCGTGTGGCGAATGGGCGGAGCTGGTCAACCCCTCCTCTGACGATGAGTCGACGTGCAGCTCGTCTGGCCGAGGAAGAGCTCGGTCATGTTATGGACGGGACACCCCATCGCTCGCCGCCCTGCCAGAAACACCGGATCACAGTGTGTGTGTTCTGACCCCTGCCCCACTCGTCCCCCCTGGACACTCACCTGGCAAGGATCGAGAGCCTGGCTGGCGGCAGTTGTGGGTGGAAAGACGGCCCCGTACGCATGAAGGGGATGATCATCTGGACGCGTTGGCATCGCTGTGGATGGAGACCGATGGTGATGGAGCATCGTCGGCCGTTGACAGCAGCACCCCCTCCCTCTCCCCCTCGTCTACTTCGACCTTGTCGAGCCTTGCCTCTTGGGATGCACGCGAGAGCTGCCGCACCGACGATCGACGGCGAGCGTTCATGGTGTCCCTCGTGGAGGCCCTGAAGACGAAGGAAGAAAAACTCAGAGCTGCATATGAGGAGAAAGGCAAGAACCCCTTGGTGAAGGCCCAGCTGGGCATGATCGCACATGTCGAGGGCATCCTGACGGCGGTCTTGGTGGACACTGGGGCGGGGCCCTCGTGCATTAGCCATGAGCTCTTCCTCC